TGAGAGCAGGAACACAAGCAGGGGGAGTGGGAAAGGGAGAAGCAGGCTTCCCGCGGAGCAGGGAGCCCGATGCAGGGCTCGATCCCAGGACCCTGGGATCATGACCTGAGCCGAAGGCAGACGCTTAACGACTGAGCCACCCAGGCGCCCCGGCTTCTGGGTGTTTAAAGGGGCTCTCCATATTCTGTCACCAGAGACCCTGCTTGGAGAGCCCCTTTGCCACACACAGCTCACATGCTGTTGGAATTCTCCGGACTCAAAGTCCAGTCTCCGTTCTGGGTACACATGGCCACCTCGTCCTCTTGAGCACTTCACTCGGTCCTTCATGTCCTTTGTCCAGAACCATTGTATCTTTTATGAAGTGTAGCTTCCAGAATTGTATTTTATTTACTCAGCTAATTATAATTGTATATTTATTACTATTAAGTCCCCAGGTGCTGAGTTAGGAGCTGGGGATGTTTGGGAATGGTGTCCAGAGCCTTGCTTCACCAGAGCTGCAGTGGGGCTTTGAATCAGTGCCTTCTGGGGATAGTGAGAGTGACCTCCCAGTTCTGGGCATGAGGTAGATGGAAGCCCACCCCTTTGTAGTTGAGGCCTGAGCAGACTTTCCTGACTGCATCCCTTGGGTCTCCCAGAGTAAAGCCATCTCATCTGGTGGCATCCTGCAGTGGGTCCACATTAGATCGTCATTCTCCTGCTTAAATCAGTTTGGAAATCTGCACCCTGGGGATACTGCTCTTCTTCCTTCTCCAGAAGTACCAAGTGAGGTATCCCTAAGGAGGAAGCCCACCCACCATTTACTCTCTTACCCAGAGAAGATCTGGCCCTCTCCTTTGCTCCCTGCTCTAATCTACTTCCCCTCCAATAACAAAGTCATCTCCCAAGCTGTTGGGTTTTAAAATTCATAATAGGACATAATAAAACATTACAAGAAGTAAATGTCAAGTTCTCAAACCACATAGCCTGGGCAGGGTGGAGTGATACAGTGGGGACACGGAGGCCACAGGCTGGGCCCACGGGTCACTTGCTGAGAAAGTCTCTTTCATGGGGGAGCCGGTGGTGGGGGGAGGAGGCAGAGGCTCAGCGTCCATATTTGTACAAGGGGGGCAGTCCCCTCCAAAGACTTGTTGGGGTACAGAGATCAATTCAGTGGAAGGGTAGCACCGACAACGCAGGCCACCGTTGCTCCCTACTGATTTTTTTTTTAAGGAGAAGAAAGGAAAATCAGTGAAACTAGCAGCATTTGCATCTGGATGGTATGATTCTCTGAGGTTTTTTTTCTATATTTTTTGTACATTTAAAAAAGTGTATGTTTTGAACATTTATTGTTTCATAACCAGGAAAAGTAATCACTATTTTAAAACTACCACAGATTTTTTAAAGCACACAGGAGTGCTGACATCCCTTGATTCTCTTTTATCCGTGTGCTTATTCACTCCCTCAAAAATTTGAGATTTCTTAAGCCTGATTGTCTTATCAGCAAAGTCCTCGAGCCGTCTGAGCCCCCCGAGTTATGCCTGTGGCCTGACTTCATCATACGCGCTCCTAGATCGTCTCACCTGGAAGCGAGAGTGGCCAGGCTGTAATTTTCAGCGTCCCTTCTAGACTTTCTAAATGTTCATTGCCACAAACAACCCAGAATTGTCAGTATTGTTTCTTGTTACCAACGCATTATGACTGAACTTAGTTTATTATTTTTTTTGTAGATGTGGGGTGGGGGGTGGGAGGGCAGTGTGTCTGACTATGCTAATCTCAGCAGAGGCTTTGCCGTGTCCTTAATCTTCCCGTGCACTAAATCAGCCTTCTCGTGAAGGCGGGGTTTTCGAAGAGTGGAGAGGCTCTGTATGTGGAGCAGCCAGATTTATAAGAGTATGTGTGTGTGCGCGTTCCTTCCATAGATCAAGAACTTGTCCATACTGTCTGGTGCTCTTTAAAGGGACGAATGTCAACATCTAAAGTGGATCAAGGGCAAAAGATAACTTTAGTGAGACTAGTAAGAAGCCTTTTGGGTGTGCTGTTTTGAGCTTCTGTTGGAATTTTCCTGTGTTGGCAACCCTAAGTTAGGGTCGCACATCCCCACAGTTCTAGGAGGACAGAGCCACAAATCAGAGACCAGAATTCTGAAATTCTTCATTCTCATAAGTACAGTTTTTACTAAAAAATTTTTTTAATTTAAAAAATAGGGGAAGGTATTTTACTTCGGAAACACAAGTTCATTTAAGAAAAGCTTTAAAGACCAGTATCCTATATTCAGAGAAGGGACTAAGTTGAAATTCAGCAAGGATGAGTAAAGAGAATTAAAAATCTGGCAATTTTTTAAAGCCTGTATTAGCTAGAATGGCAGCTTGAAAACTGATATGTCCTGGGTCTTAAAAAAAATAAGAAAACATATTTTCAAATGTGAAGTGAGGTTTCTGAAACTGAAAGGGTGATTGTTTTGCATTTAAAATATATTTTTTAATGTTCATATTTGTTCCTGTTTCAAATAATTGACATTTCTCTTCGATTATGTTTACTCTTCTCAAAAGAACATGGTTTTTTAAATTTTAAAATCATACTGATAAGATAAATGATACATTTCATCTGAGTACTGCTGCATTTCTTTTTCATGATGAGCTATGGCTATACTCTGTGTTATAAAGGGGACAGATTTTCCCACACTTCAAGTTGGCAAAACCCTGGTGCAGTGTAGGGGATGCTAGGGCCAGCTTGGTGTGTTGGCATCTGTCCCCTTCGGGTAAGGGTCTCTTCGTTAGCAGGCTTCCTTAGAACATTTAAAGAGACTGTGTTTACCCCAGTCTTACTTTACATGCATTGGGGTGGGGGAACACAACTCTCTTAAAAGAGGTGAATCCACTTCAACTGACTTTTCTCATTGGACAATTTCTCATTTGTTTCAGATAAAGTGATACTAATTACTATCCAGATAAAGTTAGATAAATACCATCTCTGTATCTTTTCTAGTTTAATATATTTGTAAAAACAGTACAAAGTAAGAGCATGAGTTTAAAAGCCATAAATAAAGCAAATTATTACTCTATTGAGAATGATACCATAATAAAATATAGTGCATTAGATAATAAGCCGGTATCGTGGAAGTAGTGTGGCTCATGAAGAGGTACCTTAGCAATTTTGGGTTTTGCTTTGTATAAAGAGCTGGAGGTTTAGGTTCAAGTTCTGCTCCAGTGGGCGCACAGCTCTGTGTCCAGCACCTGCTGTGTGTGTGGTTGGTCCCTTGGTCACTGTGCCCTGCACAAGGTTGCATACCTTTTGGTGACTTTGGAGCAGGAGGTTGAGGAATAAGCAGCTCTGCTTCTCGCTGTCTGTTCCTGCTCTGTCTAGGGTGAGGTCTGACCCTCGTGGCCGCACCCTCGGAGGGTCAGTGAGGGAGGCCACTTTCTGTTGACGCATGTGCGCTCCCTGGGAGCCTGACCTGTGGTCCCGGGTCCCACTGGTGGGGACTGGGGCTGAGGACTCTGTTTCCTGGTGGTGTTTCAATCTGAAGGCTTGTTGTCCTGATTTGTTTTCTTAGCAAATTGCAGTTATATTTCACGGGCCTGCCAAAGTGATGGGCAGCTTATGGAGTAGATGGGGCTTCTGGAGTCAGCCGACCAGGTTTTAATCTGTCCCATCATCGCTTTGTGACCTTGGGCAAGCTACTTAACTTTTCTGAGTTTCAATTTCCTCATTTATAGATTGGAATAATAGTTCCTAGCTCATCTAATTTCTGTGAGGACTAAAACAATAAAAAGAATATAAGATCCCTATTAGGGAACTCTTAAAAACAAACAGCGTGGCCGTGGTTGAGGATTACCGCTTCATGGACTCAGAGCCCCAGATCATGCAGGTTGGATGACACACCATTTGTTTACGACCTGAGATGACACTGTGGTCCTGTAGGGTCCACGTGGCGGCAGAATGCTGGTGACTTAATCACGACTCACAGATGCTCTGGGAGCAGTTATGAGGATTCTGGTCCCTTCGGTGTGGTCATTGCACGTGGTGTGATCCGTGAACACACAGAATGCCCCAAGCCCACGGGGGCAAAACTGGGCGAGGGGGGTGGTGGGGGGCAGGGAGCAGATGCAAGACTCCAGTTTGCCTGTGGGAATTTTGCTATAAACTGTTCAGGATTTAGGGCTTATTACTTGAAGAATTTTTTTAATGTAGGTTGTTCCTTATGTTCTGTTTTTTTTCCCTTTATCTGTGGATTTTTAAATTTTGCCTTGTTCCTTTATTAGAAAAGCAAACAAGTATTTGCTGAATGAATGAAAAAATAAATTTAGATAAATGCAAGGAAGGGGGAAGAAAAGCAATATAAATTCTTCACCCAGTTCTCTGTATGATTTAGAAAATTTACAAAGTATTACCTGCACAAGACTTTTATATACTGTTTTGCATTATTTTTTGATCATCATTTGGGTCTTTGGAAACTGGCAATTATAAATTCTGAGCTCCGGAGGGTACCTCAAGATTCTTTAATCCAGGCAAGAGAACAGCTTAACCAGGCCAGACCTATGATCGCCCTCCCCATCTTCAAGGCTTTCTGAGGCAGTGTCTTACACAGGGAAAATCAGCGGGAGCTCTCGGTATCATTTCAAAATAAGTGAAAACGTTGCCTGTGGACATTGAGCTGAAGAAAGGAAGCGGCAGTCAGGATTGCATTGAGGTTTTTCAGGATTGCTTTTGCCAAATGGTGGGTAATTTACTAATCGTTTTAGGCAGTTCTTTCACACATTTTAACACACGGTTAATGATCTTGTGACCAAGATAACTGGATCAGCCCCATTTCCAAAATAAGCTAAATGTGTGTAAGTGAACCTTGCTCCTATTGAACATTTTGTGTGAGTTCCATTTGTAGCCTAGTATTTTTTTTAAACTTGAATCTGATCGCATTAACTTTTAAGGTTCATGCCATCTTGTCATACGTAGTAGTACTAGTACTAAGAGGTCTTTCTGTTAAGGATCTTTTGTTGATTTTCTTTATTACATTTCTATAGCCAGATCAAGTCAAATTCATGTTCACAAGTATGTCCAAGAAAATTAAGAACTGGTGCATGAAAAGATAGGAAAACAGTCCCAAATCCTAGCAGTATCAGAGCAAGCTTATGATCAGGCAAGTGCACTTACTCCTACATTTTTTTTTTTGCCTTCTTAGGGAGCGACATTTAAGAGGGTGTAAGAATATGCTTGTCAAAGTGGAACCTGAGTAATTTGTTTTAATGTCCCTTTATTTCCCTGTAGCTTGCTGATGACCGTATGGCTCTGGTGTCAGGCATTAGCTTAGATCCAGAAGCAGCAGTTGGTGTCACAAAACGGTCCCCTCCTAGATGGGTGGATGGAGTGGATGAAGTAAGTTGAATGTTAGTTTCATACTTCTTATTTCTTTAAGTGATTATGATGCCGATATTTGTTAAGATACCTGCCATAAAAACTGATTTGGCTACACTTGGATGCATGTCCCTGGAAATCTTTTGCTTTAGGTTTATTCCAGTTCACACACCACAAGAAAGGGTGTGTGTGTCAGTGATCTTGGCGTTAGGAGCAACTACCTGGATTATAGAGAGAAGTTGAAATGCTGTATAACGAGGAGTGGTATTTGGATTAAAAGTTGCTCACGCATCAGTGAGCCTACAAGTTGGCTGAAGCCTGAACTCTGTACTCAAGTGTAGCTAATTGTCTAGGAGGCAGACAGATGCCTGGCAGGCATCAGTGGAGTCCTGGTGATTTCATTTGTTTAGATACAGTATGATGTTGGCCGGATCAAACAGAAGATGAAGGAGTTAGCCAGCCTTCATGACCAGCATTTAAACAGACCCACCCTGGATGACAGCAGTGAGCAAGAGCATGCCATTGAAATAACCACCCAAGAGATCACTCAGGTGAGGACGGAAATGGGTCCCCAGGTGGGCACGGGCATTTCCCAGCCTTCTCGTGACCCTCTCAAAAGCCGTAACGTGCTGCAGACTCGGAATCAGATCGCACTTCCCAACCCCAAGTTCACAAAGGGACGTGAGGCCCTGAGCTCCCCCAAGAAGCAGCATGTGTCTTAGTGAATGGGGACTGTTTGCTCTATTGCTGATAGATACCACCATGGACTGATTTTAAAATGTGTAACTTCTATTGTATACTAGTGCTTACAAATTATTCATATTATTCATGTTAAAAAATGGTCCTCATAATTGGAAAAGATTGGGAGCTGTTGCCCTAGACTTGAGTATATTAGTATCCTCGAGGAACTTAGTATCCTGGAAAAATTCCTTGTACAATGTTCAATTTGAGTAATTTTTAAATAATAATGACTAGTGTGTGAACTTTAGTGTTTTACATTTGTTTGTTTGTTTGTTTGTTTATGTCTCCTGGTTCTGATCACCAGTAGAGGGGCCAGGTGCTGTGGGAAAGCCCTGGGTGTTGGAATGTTCGAATCCTGGATCTTAGCAGGGTAACAACACCGTGGTTCTCTTCGAATCCCTCAGACTCTGGTGTTCTCATCTATAAAATGGGAACAGTAATACTAATACCTGCCCCAAGGTGGTGATAGGGGTTAAATGAGACGATCACAACAACAGAGCAACACGTGATGACGGAGCCTAAGAACGTGTGCCCTGCGCCCCGCCTCTGTTCACATCTGGTTCAGTCTTTCTGCGGGTGTAAAGGAGGCCTCTGATGACTTTGATCTGGTCCCTTTGCCCGACGCCCGACTGTGTGCACAGAGCAGTTGATGTCTCTGGGACCCGTGAGTGCGGAGGGGCTAGCACTCAGGGCTCCCTCCCGGCCTGCTGTGAGCCGTGGGCTTGTTCTCCCAGCTCTTCCACAGGTGCCAGCGAGCGGTGCAGGCTCTGCCCAACCGGGCCCGTAGGGCGTGCTCCGAGCAGGAGGAGCGGCTCCTTCGCAACGTGGTGGCCTCCCTGGCCCAGGCTCTGCAGGAGCTGTCCACCAGCTTCAGGCGCGCACAGTCGGGCTACCTCAAACGTGAGTGTCACCGGGCTGCTTTAAGGGATTTTGAGTCCTCAGAGTTCCAGCACTAGGACCACGGACCACTTTTTGTTTCCATCCTTCTTTTTTGCTGCTAGATCTCCGTTTCCTCCTCTCCCCTCCATCGTTACCCCTTGGGCACATTTGCGCATCTTCTAGAGCAGACGGAAGCTCTGCCCCCACGTGAAAGGCTGCCCAGACCGAGGCCAGGAACGGGCTGTGGGAATAGCTCACAGGCAGCAAAGCACAGCTTACTCTGTGTCCAGCTTAAAGCCCATTTATACAACCTGTGGCTTTCCAGATGCTGGGTCGGGGGGGGGGGGGGGGGGGGGGCTGCTAACAAGTAGGTGAAATAAGTTGAATCACAGGAAAGCTTTATATTTGCATAACAACTGAAGTATTTGAGTGCCTGAAAACCTTTTCTGGGAGTAGTTGAACCACTGGCTGCTTGCTGGTTGGCCCTAGTGACCCACTCAGCCTACCTTTTCTTCCAGACAGTGGGAAGTCTGGTTTTGGCCACATCCGCATTTGAATCACCTCATAAGCTGGGTTTTCCTTTCTTGCCATTGTAATCAATAATACCCCCACATACTCAAAAAAAAAAGTAGTTCCCCCTCCCTCTGACAACTGGCATATTTGTATTTTAATTTCATTACTTCTAAAATTTGATTAGGGCTGTTTGGAATTGTTACTAGAGATGCTTCTAGAGAGAAATACTGATTTTTTAAAAAAATGTTTTGTAACAGCAGTTAGATTAAATATTTCTGCCTCACTTAGAGATTCTCAGATGGTTTTAAGTGTCATTTTGTCACTCACTTGGCAGCAAGTGAATTGTACACATTTATAGTGTGATTTTTGTCTTGAATAACCCCCAGTGCTTGCATATTGTTATCTGTTTATAACCCTTTATTCTCCCCCCACCGCTGTTGGAGATAGGCTTCTTTTAAAGCTGAGAGTATCTCCATTTTGACTGTTGAGTTTTACTCTAGATTTCCCCTTTTTAATGGTGGAACGGTAACCAGGATGGTTTACATATTCGAGTAAAGTGAATTCCTGTCTATGACAGGCATGAAGAATCGGGAGGAAAGAGCCCAGCATTTTTTTGATACATCAGTACTGCTAATGGATGATGGAGACGATAATACTCTTTACGATCGGGTACGTGAGGGGCTGCAAGACTGACTGCTGTGCGTTTGCGCTCCGTTCTGTTCCTTCTCTCCATAGACCTGTAACTTCTGTGCAATGCCAGTGGGTCAGCGCGGCTTGACTTGTACATCCATCAAGTAGTTTTTGCAGCAGGTGGAAGAACAGTCATGGGGGCCATACTGTTTCTTCCTTTCTGTAGGCTGCGAGGAGGCCTTGTCATCTGCCTTCCAGAACCTTCGGGAAAGCAGTCTGCACACCGCACGTTGGGAAGAACCCAGAGAAGCGCAGGGTTATTTCCGGTGGTTTTGCTGCTCAGCCCTGTGTAGCTGCAGACAGGGGTTCTCTTTGTGTCCCCTGCTTTGGCCCCTAGTGCTTTAGATCCTGCTTGTTTTAGGAATTTGGATCTTTCCTGTGAGGGAAAAATAAGTGCTTATGTGTTGTGTTTATGTGCTTTATAGAAGTATTTTCAGAATTCATTCTTTTAATGACATCTGCAATGGTACACCATACCTTTCTGGTGGGGGGAGAAGAGAATCTAACATACAAATCCTGTACTTTTTGTTTTGCTAGGGTTTTACAGATGACCAGTTGGTGCTGGTGGAGCAGAACACACTGATGGTGGAGGAGAGGGAGCGGGAGATTCGCCAGATCGTGCAGTCCATTTCAGACCTGAATGAAATATTTAGGGATTTAGGAGCGATGATTGTGGAGCAGGTACGTGGTTTACCTTCCTCATCATTGCGTTTCCTGCCATGACATCTGGCCCTTCTGGAGACTGTTGATTCGGCATTTGTGTCAGGAAACAAAATTTGACCCTACTCCCCCCGTGTACGTCTGTATGTATGTGTGTGTGCTTATACCCTTACATAGATACGTGTGTGCACGTTATATGCGTAACTAATGTCATTCCCTATAAAATTACTGATAACCTTTTATTTTTTTGAGTAAAAAATAAATATCAGTGGAAGGTCTCATATTCTCTGCCCATACTCCAAGGACACTCGTGGGACCACCCTACTTTGGGGGTCTGGTGGGTTCTGCCCCCACTCAGCAATGATTCTGGCAGTAGATAAGGTTTCCCTTCTAATTTTGGCAGGTTATTGTGTAAGGGCAACTGGAACCACTAGCTTTCAAGTAGAATTAAATTGTTTGTTCACTGTTACAATCTGATTAGGGTATTTTATTATCTTGCCAGCAGGGATTTGGGTCCTGATCCCCCTGCAACCAGCTGCACAATGGAGTGTTGAGGCCATGGAAGATCTAGTTACAGTAATTACTCCTGCGGTTCCCAAGGAACTGCTCTTGCTATCTCCTCTGATACAGCATGTTCCATTAAGAGCCCTGTTCCTCCACATAGCCTGGTGTTCCCTTCTTTCTGTTTGAACCGACAGATTAAACAATTAAAAACAAAATTCTCCTTGAGGCAAACGTGTAATTTTACATGGTGGATTGGAGCTCACCATCTCTGCTCTGACCCATGGAAACCCGTGTTGACGTTTACAGACGTGATAGTCAATTTCCAGGCCTAATCATAACTGGGTCTAGCTTAACCAGCGTTCTCTGCTTACTTGAATCCAAGTATTTAAGCAGCACATGGACACAGAAGTCAGCCCTTCGCCTCTCAGAGCCTATTTCCACTGAACCGTATATTGCTTAAAACCCCAGTAAGTCTGAGTATGGCATATCTTAGAGTGGCTAAATCCAAAAAAGAAACCTCAATTTGTCCGTATTTCTTTCTCATGAGTTAGACTTTATTGTAACTTACACGGCACTCTGCCATTGAGTGCCTAATATTGCTTGATGATGGATTCCAGAGCTTTCCGTGTGTACCTTTCCAGCAGCGGATAAGTAAAACAGATAATCCTGTGGATAATGATGTCTACAGTTCCATGTTCCCAGTTGCGGTTGTTGGTCGTCTGTAACTGTCATTTCTTACTCAGGGTACAGTCCTTGATAGAATTGACTATAATGTTGAGCAGTCCTGTATCAAGACCGAAGATGGCCTGAAACAGCTTCACAAGGTAATGTCGTGTGTTTCCGCAGCTGAGAGTTTGAGGAGCTGCTCTCAGATGCCCAGGACTCAGAGGAGGGGCTCTCGGTGGCCAGGCGTGCGGGAGCGTTGTGTCAGTGTGGTCGGCGCCAGCCACGGGGGGCCTTGTCACCCTACTGCAGGGAGTGACTCCAGGGGCGCTTGGCGCTTGGATTTGAAATTGCTGAGAAGTCCCTTCTGTGACAGGAAATTATAAAGGAATTGGGCACTTCTTCCTTTCATAAATTATTTTCGTTCTTTGAATCTTCTTGTTGTAGGAAATCAAGGGAATGGGTGTTTGCTAGACGTGTGTTGAACATTCTGTCTACTTGTTGTTGCGCTGACTCAGGTCTCTTGCTGTGACACATTTCTGATGAATTGCTGGTGGAGGATCCTTTTGGAGCAGATAAAAATCTCATTTTCCCTTTTAATTACCGCAGTATCTCTGTGAGCTACCTTGAGAAAAGAATGGTTTGTTGAAGTGAGAGTAGCTTTCTTACTCTTCGCTAATAAGGTAGCTATTTCCGGAATATCTTTCGCGATACTTGTTGAAAATAACCGGAAAGCGTCTTAGAAATCTTGTCATCAGTGATGAGAAACATACATATGCTGCCGAGTGGATCTCGCATATAATTGAGTGCATGTTTTCTTTAAAAGGAATGCTAATACTTCGCAAATAAAATAAATTCTATCCATTTCCTTGTAGCTTTGAGACCCTGTGATATTTGTAGCCATATAATGAGCGTTTTTCCAGTCCACAAATGGACTGCTCTGTCGCTGTTCTGGAGCCAGTTGCTCTCTGTGGCAGGGGCGGCCCCGTCTGACAATGATGTCAGGTTTACAGAATGGGAGACCTACCGAGGTCCGACCAGGAACCCTTCACTCTCCCTTCTGTGTGCTCGCTGCCGCACAGGGCGTGGACGAGACTCCAACACATGGTAGAAGGAAAAGGCCTGCCTCGGGTAGGCAGAGGGCTTATTGAGCATTTAGATTCATTTTGCTGCCAAGCCTGTGTATGAAAAGAGTGATAACTAACTTGAGTTTCCCACTCTGTAATACCCAGTTCCTGATATGCTGTTGAATTATGCATTGGTTTTGAAGTTTCTTAAATAAAAACTAGCGAAACATGTTTTATAATAAAGCACAGATAAAGGGCAGAGCTTTCTCTACGGGAGTGTACAAATCTAGTGGGAACTAGAAATTTTGTTTTAGGTTCTACTTTATAAATCATCTTGAGAGGCTTTAAAGTATATCGTTTAGTATTGGCTTCCCTGGTGTTCTGGGTTCCTTATTAGAAAAGTAAGCATGCTCCGTCTTATCTCTCAAGTCACCTTGCTGTCAGTGGCGTGGCTGGCCGTTTCCTTGGCAGTCAACCTCATCCGAGGAAGATTGAGCCTTGGCAGCGACTTCACACGGGCTGGACTCTCAAGACGGGTTAGCCTGTCTGTCCTGATGTTTCCTCCTGGTTGATGAGTGGCTCCCAGTGGGTGTGTAGGCTCACTTAGGAAACAAAACTACCAGTCAGAAGGTTGGTGGGGACCACGGAAGTAAAACGGAAGAGATTGGATATTCTTAGACGTTTCCATCAAGCTGTGCCCTTCATGTCCTTCCCTGTGAAAGCACCACCTGGGGAAGGACGGGGCGTGCTATCCCTGGACGTGGTGAGCGACACCCTCGAGACTCCCTCCTTGTCCACTCTCCTGTCTCTGGTCAGTCTCCGGGAACCCAGGTGGGGCATTTTGTGTCTGTGCACAGCAGGGGTGTGACTGAGGGCGTGCCCCCATCCCCCAGCCCCCCGGGGCCTCCAGGCTGATGTTTGCAGGTGAGGAGTGCAGCGGGTGCTGAGCTCTGGAAGCTCCTGTCTGTCGTGGCAGCAGAAGCACAGCGAGAGATGATCTCAGGGAGGTTTCTTTCTGCACTTGAGACCCGTGGGGCACGCTTTCCCATTCCTGTGTCAGAGGAGGAGTGTGTTCTTGTTCCCAACATCAGGGGAGGCAGAAAATACCACTCCGGGGGGCCGTCAGTTCCTTACACTCTGGCAGGGGTAACCTTAGCCCGATGTTTGAGGTCATCGTGAAGGAGGTATGCGTTCATCCGAACAACTGTGTCCAGAAATGGGAGGCTCTCCTTGAAAGAGTGGTTCATCACAGTCAGTGGAAGGAGGAGGAGAAGCAGGTCCACCTGGTGCTGAGGCAGAGGCTCGGACTCCTCCCAGCCTTTGTCTTAGTGGTGGGTCCCGGCCCCGCGCCGCTGTGCGTCCAGGGTAACTAGGTCACGAGGTAGCTCCAGCATCGTGGAGGTCGTCCACTCACGATGATTCAATTTGCTTGAATTGGTGGAAGGGCTTATGATGATGTGATGTGGCCTGTAGCAGAGAGACCGGTCGTGCACGTAGAACTGCAAGCCCAGGACTGGAAACAAGCGAGGCTTGGTTTTGGATTTTTGGGAAAATGACGGCCTTTTTCCCCTCTCTCTGTAGGCAGAGCAGTATCAAAAGAAGAATCGGAAGATGCTTGTGATTTTAATATTATTTGTCATCATCATTGTCCTCATTGTTGTCCTCATCGGCGTGAAGTCTCGCTAGGCGTCTGTGCGGCTGCGTGTGCCGCCCGCGTGGACTCCCGGGCGCCAGGGGCTCGGCCGCCGTGCGGGCACAGCAGAGGCGCGGGCTGTGGACCGAGGACCGAGTGGGGGCAGCGAGCGCTGGCCTGGACTCCTCGTCGCAGTCGTGCTCAAGCAGAGGGAATGGGCTTCTGGTTTCCCTTCATTGTCAACAATTCAAGGACCTTTGATAGCGCTGCAGAACAGAGATTGAGCTGTGTCATCAGTTATAATATCTATTTTTTTTAGAAAGAGAAAATGAGTTGAATGTTTACAGGCACCCCACAAGCTGGTCGATACTGTACATGCATATGCTGTTTTTTTAGCTTCATGTCGGAGCGGCATGTTAAAATAATTTTTGGAAAAAGTTTTTAAAAACCATCTGGTTTTTAAGAAATTTGGTACCAAAAAATTTGTGAGTAGAGGCAAAAATGCCTCTTCATCTTTCTCTGTATATTTTCCAGTTGAAAACAAACTGAGAAGTCCTTTAAGAATTTATAATCCGTTCCCCATTAACTTAATTTAGCTTTTCCATCACTGTTAATGATCAGAGTAGCAAAGTGTGAAAAATAAGAAACCATCATTGATGTTAATTAACACATTTAGATGGGCCAGTTAAAACAGCTTCATAAGTTTAAATTAATTGTAAATGGACTATTCCTCATCTAGAATCTGTGCCCTGCATTTTCTACTGTAAATCAAAAGGGGTTACTAACAAAACCGCCTAAACTTAAAAGTTGGTGATTTGAACCAACCTCACATGAAAACATGCAAATGGAAGATGGGCAGTGTCATGAAAGTCACCAGAATCAGCCAGTGTGTCCCTGTACTCGTCCCCAGCCGTCCTTGCTCAATCCATTACTTATATACTAACCACATAATGGCCTGTTCAAACCAGACACCATTTAATGAACTGTGAATTTACACACAGGCCATTCTAAATGGGTCACCCCATTTAGGATTAGTGGATCTCAAATTATTAACCAAACATCACTCCATTTCAAAGTAAAATATTCCACCAGTGGTATGATTTATCGGCTCTTCCACTGCTGCTTAACATGCCCAGAAAGTAGGCATGTTCCCGCAGATTGTGAAAATCTGGACTAGGAAATCCCTCATTTCTGTGAACATGAATCAGATCGCCAAAGCAGGACTTTGCTGTTTACTTACCTATTATCAATATGGTGCTCGAATATATTCCTGGAACTGTAGAATAATGTGGAAAGTGATGGTAACTTTGAAAGCTGAAGTTCATGTTTTATTGGGTCTTGAGACACTAGTATCTTTTTAATGGTCTTTGTATAATTTTCAGTGGCTTTTCCATTATTTTTTACCTCTCCTAAAAAGTTTGAGAAGAGCATGACTTCATTAAATGTGCTATGTTTTATTTGGATCAGTCACATAAAATGTCTCTTTAGAATTGACTTGAAAGTTGTTTCCAGAAACTTAAACTCAAGTCCAGAGGTTCAAGTCGTCCAAACAGATCATGGTCTTAAAACCCATGCCCCAGCCTTCCCTTCCCAAGTCGTTTGTGACTCCAGGCGGCCACTGGTTTTCTTATTACTGATGTGGCTATAGAATGATCTAGAGGTGCCCCTGGCATTTCAGGAAATCGCATGGTATTCCCTGACAAACAGTTATTTATTAGGAAAAAAGGTCGGCCAATCCGAATCCACCACCTCCTCGATCACCCCTGAAATGTGGGGCTTCTGCATTCTTCTTGCGAATAGCTCTAGGCCTTCTCTACTCACAGCAGATTTGAATCCAGTGGCAGAGTCGACGTGTTCCCCTAGACCAACTGCTCCCAGGAGCTTGGCTGTGGGGGTCCGAGCTCTTCCCTCCCTGACGGTCTACAGTGGCAGAACTGGGTCCCTGGTGAAGCTTTTCAAGTGCTCAGTCTTACCCTTGAAGGAAAGTGACCCTTTAAGAAAGGATCACCAAAAAAAAAAAAAAAAAAAAAAGGAAGGGATCACCATTTATTTATATTTATTTTCAGTTAATAGGGGTGATTGGGGTTGGTTTTTGCTCCCCAACCCCTAACCCCATTTGGGTAAAATAGTAGATCTAAATAGACGTGAAGGCTCTCGAGCGGTCTGAAGCCGGCGCGGTGCCAGTGGAAGCCCCAGCTGTCTGCTGCCACGACCTTGTCCCACAGTGGGAAGCGGCCCCAGAGCCTGGGCGCCAACTTGCCCGGCTCCTGCAAACACTGTATTTTTCTTTTGAGCCTTCATCAGGGAAGGATCAGCAGCCTTGGGGGAAGTAAGAGAAAAGTGGTAATGGAGTCCTGGTACCTCAGGGCTCCTTTTCCTGCGGACAGCCATTGCCGTCCCTCTCGGCCAGGCTCTGGGGGCAGTGCTCGCCAGCCCAGTCTCTCCCCTCACCTGGGATGCGAGCAGAGAAGGGGGCCCGCAGGGAAAGCTGCTTCTGGGCATCCCCGGGCTCAGCCACTGGACACCCGCCCCCTTCAGCGTGTCCTCGGCGGGCTCCTTGGATGGGACTGGAGAGCAGAGAAGTCCGCGTTTACCGTCAGGTCGCCAAAGCTCCTGATCTTTCCCGAGATTGTAACTGAAATCTACTGTCTCTCGTCGTATTAATTTGGGGGTGGGGGCTGCTGGCTTAGCCATGGGCGTGAAGCAGCGTATGACTCTAATTTAACGGATTTACCGCTTTCTCTGCTAATTGAGAGAGCATTATTTATTTGTTTTGACACAAGTGCTTCCAGTGTTTTATCCTCGCTAATGGCTTCTTGAAGGTAATAAAACCCTTCCAACCTAATTGGTCAGATAAGACTTTTTTTCTTGTGTGCTTAAATAAAGCAATTAGTGAAGCGCTTCTATCCAAAATGACTTTTTTTTTGTCCTTTTTTAAAACTAATTTACTGTTACTGGAAACTTTTTGTACAATAAAGCAATCATGCGGATTAAAGAACATCCTGCAATCCTAGTATTAATTTTAACGATGGGGCTCGCGTTTTCTTCAAATGCATCTGCGTTACGGGAGGGCCTGGTCCATTCTGTGATCGTTTGGGCCAATGACTATTTGTTTTGTGTCTGAGGCCTTGCCTCAGTGTCTGAAAGTCCATCCATCTGCCTAATGGATGCTCGCAGAGGGACCAATCTGTCTGCTATCCAATATACAAAAGGGAAACTGCCGAAAAGGCAGACAATTATTTTTCTTATGAAAATGTATGCTTCATATACATACCCAGAAGCATTTGGAGATCTTCAAATAAAATTTAGTCTGTGTGCTTTGCTGAGAAGTCCCACTTACATCCAGGCTCCGGGAGACTTGAATTTCTAAGTGACTTTGGATGTTTCTTATTCTGTTACACTGAACACTTCAGGAATAGGCTTTGCCAGCTGAACTCAGAGTCAGGACCGTATTTACACCTTCAATGTGCCCATGTCCGGTCTCCTCCTCAAAGGCCGGGGTGGGTCCTTGTCACCCAAGCATTACCTTTCACGTCATCCAGGCACGATGGGCTCTGTCTTCGAGTCTACTTACTACGTGGGAGCGGGCCTTCCCAGGAGTCCCCTTGGCAAGCCAGGCATCGCGTCCTGTGATGTGCCTGTTGCTCAGGGCGATTAAATTACCTTCGGAGCCTGTTGATGAACCACACAGAGGGAGCGACCTTCCCTTGTTGTGCTCGCTCCTTGTTTTCTGGCTAGAAATTCTGTCTCCCCACCTTGTTCAAAAGCCACTGGCTCTGTCCAAGCATCAAACCCACCCCTCAGAGGATAGACATTTGCCGCAGGCTTCAAGAACATTCTGACCAGCAATAACCTTGAAGTAACCCTCCACCCCGGATGGGACAGCCGTGTAAGTGGCAATGCGTGTGAAGGGACTGTAGGCTCTGCCGGGGGGGGGGGGGGGGTGCCTCCTGAGTGGTCAGTCATGGGTCAGGTTTCCAACTGGATTTTTGGTGGCTCCCTTTTGAAATGGCGCTGCAGGTGTGTGCAGGTAGAATCGGACCCGTTGCTGTGGAGCAGAGCGCTTCGCAGGCTCGGTCCTGGCCCTCGGGTGCGACGGGCCTGGAGGCACGGGAGCATGGGCCGCAGCGTGGTTCCTCCTGAAGGCCCGCACTGATGGAGGATGACGGGCTGCATAGAGATTGGCCCTGCTGAATTTAGTGCACCTCCTTTAGGAGCTCTGATCGTCACCCAGAATGTGAGCAACCCGTAATTCTTCCTGGTCTCTCCTCGCCACAGCAAAACGACTCACTGAGCCTGGCGTAATTTGTGGGTAAATTTAGTAGGATGGCGTGTTATTCTAACATGCGGGCTTAATTTCGGTCATCAGGCTCCCTCATTCTCGTCAAAACCTGTGGGGACCAAATGGAGAGGTCTGGTAGTGTCTTCACAGGAGGGACATCTGATCGTCGGGTGCAGGGAGGACAGGTTAGGCTGCAGGGGGACTACTTCACCCATTAGTTACCGTGAGTTCCCGTTGCCTCCTAGGACTCGGGGTGGCAAACTTGCTTCATTTGATCGTGGCTACAAGTGAAACTTAGCGGTGTGTGTACAAAGAAATGTGGGCTTTGGATTGTAGATCTCCGTGTGCGCGTGTTGGCCCTTAGCAACTCCTCTAATTTTCTCTCTCCAGATTCCCTCGACCACCCAGATGCCACCTCTGACCTTGTTGCAGATGTTTACGTTTCGTTTTGTTTTGCAGTTGAGGGAAGTGGTGGGTATTGGGGTGAACTAATGTGGACGCTGGGTGGGCATGCAGAGAGACTTCCAGCTCATCTGAGAGCATGCCAGACTTGGGACTCGGAGTTAGACAGCGGGCATCAGCTGGGTGCCCTGTGCACCCAGACTCCACACCACCCTCCAGGTCATCCTACCCGTCTCCGGCCAGGCCTTCTTCCCACACAAAGGGACATTCCACGGAGTCAAATGGCAGAGACTTTTGCACAATTATCTGGTCAATTGAGGCAAAAGAAAATAATCATTTGTCCAATTGTCCAAATTAGCTCTCTGGACTGTCCTGAATGCTCAGGATAATTGTGTGGGCCTCCACTTCAGCTCCATAATCTGGCTAAAATGGACCATTTACATGAGACTCCATTCAATACGACGTACATTTAAATTAGACTTGGTGAAAGTAGACCACTGGGTTTAGTGTTTTCTGTTTGTCAACTATTATTCGAAAATTGCTTTTAGCTAATCATCCCAATTCTGCCGTTAGTAATCACTATTTCTCCCGTTTTATGGATGTAATGGAGGCAGAAGGGGCTCTGGTTTGCATCATTTGGTGTCTCTGGGAGGAAGTGCTGAGGGATTCACTGACTCGGGACCCCCTAACAGACCTCCATTTCCACTGCCGCTTGGGCAGAGAGACCATCCCCCCCACCCCCCCTTTCCCAGATGGGGAAACTGAGACCCTCTGGAGGGCTCGCCGGGGTCACACGAATAACCCGGGGCTAGAGCTAGAATCTTCAACTTCCTAATTTCCAGACAGTACTATTGCTGCTTATGCCATTTTAATTGTTCATTTCTTTCCATAAAATTAAGTGACCTTCTTCCAGAAAGATTTAACGGTCAAGATGGGATGTGGTAAAGGCTCCTCAAGGACTTTTTCCTTATTACGAAGATGAGACCAGACTGAGGCCGGGAGAGATTTGCAAACAGCGGCATGTCATTATCCCTAGTTCAGTTTTTCGTGTAATTGGTGTGAAGAGATTGCTGCTGACTAATCCCGCCACCGGACAGAAAGCAAGCACTCGTGGGTGACACGGCGCGCAGCACGCGGACATGTGTACGGGTGGCTGTTTATGGAAGGTGTGCGTGTGTGCGTGCACGTGCGTGTTGCGTGTGCGTGCGTGTGTACCCGGAGTGCTTCCCAAGATGGAGAATGTCATTTGAAAGTTGTAAATAATAAAAAATAGGTTGGAGCAAAACTGATTTTACAATTGCCTGAGAATGTCGCACTTCATTTCCACACTATGCAATGGCTAGAAATTGATTTTTTTTTTTAATCCAATTAAGCCTCAAGGTTGGTTATCCATTTAAAAGGTCGGCTGAGTTAAACAATGACAGTACCCGCAGTTCATGCTAATAATTAAATGTACACAGAACTCGAGCACTTCCATCGTGCCTCGCAGAGGTGGACGTCGTGTGTGTGTGTGTGTGTGTGTGTGTGTGTGTGTGTCGCACAGAAATGCGCTGCGGAAGTCCCCAGCCGACCCAGCGACCCAGCCGACCGTGACCCCTGCCCGGGCAGCCCGCGGCCGGGCAGTGCTCCTTCCCCGCGGGGTCCCACAGCCTGCCCTGGAGAGCCCTGGTCCCCCCTCACCTCCCATCCTCCCCACCCTCCAGCCCCGGGAGCCTTGGGAGACGGAAGGTAACCCCACTTAAAGAGAAAAAAGAGGGGGCTCTTGGTGTGTGTGCGTGTGTACCCTTGGAGTACGCACGGAACTCCTCGGTTTCACATGCTGCCGAGTTTATAACGTGGTGAATAAATCATGTTTTAAAAATAGCCCTTTAAAAAAAAAGTCCTCTATGGTTCGTATTGACTCTGTTCCCAATGTGTTAAGAAAAAGACTTCAAAATGTCTTTTTATGGTTCTCATAGGCGATGTTTAAGCATTTGAATTTATGGAGATGTTAGGAGAACCGGGAACCCGATTGGAATGCTTTTTATTCTGTTTGGGTTATAATGTCACTCCAGTTTTGTAAGTCACTGAGCAGGGATAGTGATCTTATTTCAAATCTAGCATTTTAACCTGCACTGTAATGTAAGGAAGGTCACTCCAATTCAATACTTTCCATCTGTAACTATGAACCAGCCTGAAAGATGGAACCTTGCAGATTTAGTGGGAGGAGGGGGGAATATATTTATATATATTGAATTTCCCTCTCAGGGCCCTTAAGAAAATCTAACAATTCCTGCTTAGCGTTTTGTACCCCCACCCTTTCCTCACGCAGCTCAGCTGCCAAAAGCCTCCACAACAGATTTGTGATTCTTTTTTACTTTTTAAAAGATCCGCATTTAGATAATGCAGACAGACGTGTGGCTTTACACGAGGGTGTTCCTGGAGGAAAGAATGTGACCCCGGTTTTTGAAGACCGGCCCCTTTTTTGATGCACTGGAGAAGCAGACTATTTAAGAGGATCCTGTAAGTGAAGGTTTTCCTAAAGAAACTTGATCCATGTAAACATTTATCCCCTCCTTCTGCTTTTCTATACACCTTCATTTCCATAAGCGGAGTTGCCTCAAGGAACGCGGAACCACCTTCGGTGGGTTAATTACCTCTCTCTCTCTTCCTTCCCTCAGCCACCCCCATCCCAAGGCTCCAGATCTTCCACATTGCCCTTGAAAACTTCTGCAGCTACAGAAGTAATTTTGCTGGTGCTCAGAAGTAAATAAGAATTTCGTCCCCGAGACAGGAGGGTTATTACTGTCCGACAAGGTGGGCTTCCTGGGAAGATAATTTAGGCTGCTAGAACAGCAGGGGACTGCCCAGAGCAACTAGCTCAGCCCCTCATTTTATCGAAAAGTCCTAAAAACTGATGTGGGAAGGAACGCTTTTTGTTGTTAATAAGTGGTTCTTCCAGTACATTTTTATTAACACCATTCTCTCATCATGCTGATATCAGAAGGTAAAAAGCGCTGTAGATGAAATCACAGAATGTGCTTTTCAAGCAAAGTGCAAAAGATTATATGCAATATGCTGTTTTTTGTATAGGTCCGTGAGTGCGCATAAACGTAGTTTTTAAAAAAGAAACAGGAAAGATAAACCAAAACCTGATAAAAATGGTTACCTCCAGGGATGAGTGGAAAAGGAGTGGAAGGGACGGGACGCCTTTGAGCATTCCTTCCTGCAGTTTCAACTTTTGAGCCACATAAATGTACGTATTCAAAAAAAGAAAATGTAAAAAAAAAAAAATGAAAACAGCGAGCCCTTCGGTACAAACAGAAACATAGGAA